CAGGCATATGAAGTGTACATTTACATTATTAGGTAGATACACTCCTTGAAGAGAACAATCATGAGAGAATAAAAGGGCTGTGTATGCATAAGGAGACAGCTTAGAGGACAGGAATGCATGGAGGAGGGACACAGAGAATAGGTAAGTATAGGGAGGAAGTGGGAAGGGAGCTGTTGCATTATGATATATGGTAGTCAATGTCATGAGACAGTGTATGTGAGCTGCTGTATGGAAAGTGAATTTGCTCTGTAAATGTTCACCCAAATCACAATAAAAAGAAAAAAAAGAATAAGTACTATAAAAAAATAAAATATGGTCTATATTATTTCATATATACTAGCAATTCATGAAGGACAGCAAAAATGTAAACTTCTTATGCAAAGTCAAAACAATGGTCTTATACTTTTTGAGATCTTTGAAAAAAGAGGTATTCTCACTTATGTTTCAACATTGGGTGGTGTCTTAAGCTGTATTCTCTAGAGAAGCAGAATAAGTGGAACTTGGATGGATGGATGGATGGATGGATGGATGGAGGATGGGTGGGTAGACAGATAGATAGATAGATGGATGCATAGATAGAGACTTATCTCAAATGTATGGCTCATGAGGTTGTAAAACTTGCAACTCTGAGGTCATGGGTCAGATATCTGGCTATTAGTTTTTCCTGTCTCATGCAGCTGCAGGGACTAATGAAGCCAATATTGGCAGGTTAGATGTCAAGCTTCTGTCTCACAGGCTGTGGAGGCTGATGAGTTCAAGATTGGCTGGTAACAAGACAGGCTACTGGCTCACAGGCAGTGTAGACTAATGAATCCCAAGATCAGTAGGTAATATGGTAGGCTATTGGCTCAAGTCCAAAGAACCATAGGTCAAATGATGAGGAGGTAGATGCAGGGTCCAGATTAAGATAAGAACAGAATGCTTTTCAAGAACATTCACATATTTAGGAAACAAGCCACACCTCTAAGGAAATTCCCATTCCATTGATTGGCTGCTCATAGCAGATTTCATCATGGAGATTATATTACATCAGATCACATCATGGGGGACAACTACATTATAATTGCTATACCACTAAAATTCATGGCCCAGTCAAGTTGACACAACTTTAACTATGACAAGTGATATAGATAAGGAAAAAAACATGTTCCCAAGAGCATAATTCACCTGTTTTCTTTTTCTTCATAGTAACATTATCTCTTTTTTTAATTACTTTGATTATTTTAAGATTTTAGATGCACTCACTTCAGAATCTTGGTACTATACATTTATTACTTACTCATATGAGTAAAGGGAGGATAGTCTACCATTTATTCTGCCTTCTAACTCTTTTTCCTTATAGATAGGCTATAGATAGGTTTTTGTTAGTTTGATAGGGCACTCAAATTTAGCAGGAATACATGTGTCAAAATCCTCTGTGGCCAGTGTTAAGGGTGTGGCTCATCAGAGCAGGTTTGTCTTTATTTTTCAAATGCCTCAAGAATTCCACTGACCTCTGGAGTAAATTACCTTTTATATTTAATTTTTCAAGAGTAAAGATCTTCTGACTATGCAAAATGTATAAATCCAAACTCTGAATGTATATATGGACAGTCCAATGTTTATAATTTCCAAGAATAACTAATTTTTCCACCCATAGACCTGGTCAATTAGAATATAATTTTATTCTTTTTCCTTGTGCTACTCAGAACACTCCTCCAAACTACACTTTCTCTGAAGGAATAGGCTTTAAATGTCTAAGATCCAAAGAGTCTAATTCTACTTCACACTCTTGCAGGGACAATATTCCCCTCTAATGGCTTTTGATCATCTGAAATCTCTTCCCATGATACTTCTCCCAAAACTTCACTCTTTCAGATGTCCTGAGATCAATTGTTTATTTTAAAGTGTATTTCTAGACTTCATAGCAATTTTTACTGAAAGATCTCTGAAACCTAAAGTTCAACACTGTCAGCATAGAAGTATAATCTTTTAACCCATAGGTATCTTGTGAGTACTAAATCAGATAATATGTAAAAAATACAATCTGTAATCTGTCTAATGATCAGTAAATATAAGTTTGACTTCATTATCATAATTGCCATATGAAGCAGTGGTACACTAGTTTTTTCTTTGTTTGTTTGTTTAATTCTATTTTTTAGAAGAGTCAAAAAGGCCTAGCAGAATGGTGAAGTTATAAAGGAGAGAAGTGACTTAAACATTACTTAAAGTATAATTGATATTAAATGCCATTCCACACTGCCATTTCCCCACATTACTTTAAGAACAAAATTTACTTTGGAGTGTTTCTTTCTCTTTCAAATATTAGAAACTAGAAGATCAAAATAATTATCTCAAATTAGAATATGATTTTAGTGAAAATGATGATTAGTAAAAAGAAAAGTAAATTAAATACTATTTTGAAGCATTAAAATGCTATTTAAATATGTTACATAACTAATATTTTATACATTTTCATATTTTTCAAGTTGAGTTGTAGAAGCATGAATTTAATAGAAATACTAATTTGATAGGAAAAGAAAAAAAATATTTTGAAGTGTCATTCCAGTCCAAATCAAATAAGAATTATTTTATAAGCAAAATATGGGGAATCCAATTTTCATATTTTATAAGATGGTTTCTTGTTGATTATAAGAACAAATGGTATAAAAACAAAGAAAATATGTTCCATATTATTTCGTGTTAGGTGCCATTGAGTCGCTTCCAACTGCTGGCTACCCTGTATGTGCAACAGAATGAACTGCTGCTGCCTGCCCTGACCATCCTCACAACCTTACTATGCTTGAGCCCATCGTTGCAGCCACTGTGTCAATCCATTCCTTTTTCTCTGACCTTCCACTTTACCAAGCATGGTATCCTTCTTACCGTATGACCAAAGTATGTGAGGTGAAGTCTGGCCATTCTCCCTTCTAAGGAGCATTCCAGGTGCACTTCTTCCAGGAGACATATGTCATTCTGCTGGCAGTCCATGGTATTTTCAATATTCTTCTGCAGCTCCACAATTCAGTGGCATCAATTCTCCAATCTTCAGTATTCAATGTCCAGCTTTCACATGCATATGAGACAGTTGGAAATACCATGGCTTAAGTTAGACATACCTTAGTCTACAAAGTTCCATTTTTGCTCTTCAATAGTTTAAAGAGGTCTTTTGCACTAGATTTGCTTAGTGCAATACAATGTCTGAGTTCTTCACTGCTTTTTCTGTTACTATTGATTGTGAATCCATATAAAATGAAATCTTTAACAACTTAAAACTTTTCTCCATTTATCTGGATGTTGCTTATTGGTCAAGTTGTGGGCAGTTTTCTTTTCTCTATCTTGAGGAATGCATTTTTGTTGTCGTTGTTGTTATTGTGATATCAAGTCAGCAACAACTCATAGTGACCCTATGTACAACAGAATGAAACACTGCCTGGTCCTGTGACAATCACAATCCTTGCCACCCCTGAGCCCATTGTTGCAGCCTGCCATTCCATCTCATTGAAGGCCTTCCCCTTTTTGGTTGATCCTCCACTTCAGCATGCACTTTACCCATCACTCGTCTGTTAATTTATCACACTGTGGTGGCTTTTGTGTTACTGTGAAGCTGGAGGCTATGCCACTGGTATTTCAAATCCCAGAAGGGTCACCCAGGGTGGGCAGGTTTCAGTGGAGCTTCCAGACTAACACAGACTGAAAGAAGAAATGGGCCAGCCACTTCTCAAATAATTGGTGAGTAGCAGTGACCAGTGTCTGATGTATTTTTTCAAACATAATAGTAATTCACAAAGGAAAATAAAAATGTAAACTTCTTATGAAATGTCAAAACAATGATTTTGTACTTGTTGAAAGTTTTGAAAAACAGATATTCTTACTTACGGTTTATTGAATGGTGTTTGAGACTGTGTTCTCTAGAGAAGGAAAACTAGTGAAACTTATATACATATATAGATAGATAGATATAAAGAGATTTATCTCAAAGAAGTGGCTCATGAGGTTGTAAAATCTTCCAAGCCCTAAAATTGTGGTTCATATGCTAGAACGGAGGCTTCTCCTGTCTCACATAGTTGCAGAAACTGATGAACCCATGATTGGCAGGTCAGATGGCAAGCGGCTGGATCACAGACTCTGGAGGTTGACAAATTCAAGGTTGGCAGGTGACATGGCAGGATTCTGGCTCACAGGCTACACAGGCTGAAAGGAATCCTCAGATCCGCACTCAATGTGGCAGTCCATTGGCTCAAGTCCAAAAAAAGTAGAAGTCAAAAGATGATGAGCTAGATGCAGGATCCAGATTTAGCAAAAATCAGAGAGCTTTTCCAGAACATCCGTGTATATTGGAAGCAGAATATACCCTTAAGGAAATTCCCTTTCCACAGTTTGGCTAGTCATAGCAGATATTATCATGGAGGTAGTTACATTATAGCAGATCATGTCACGGGAGATGACTACATTATAACTGCTAAGCCACTGAGAATGATGGTTCAAACTAGTTGCACACAATTTTAACTATCTCAAGGGGTATAGATTAGATGAGAAGACCTAGAAATCAGTGAAAAATATACAGAGTAAAAGCATATCATATATGTAACAGCACTGTTGAAAATATTTTCTACTTACATAGAGAGATATCCATTTTTGTGTGTAGTCATTGAACCACTAATTTTGAATTGAAACTCTGAACTTCAATTTAATACACTAAGTCAAAGAACTATTCATTGTGGGCTCAGGTTTTGTCATTTATAGCATAACTAAATATGCTACATTTACATGGTTATGTACATGAATCTATTCAGTTTCTGAGTTAGGTAATGAGTTCACCAAAGCTACTACTATTTTTCTTAAGTTAGGATAGTTTTCAGTGAGAATTCACTTTGCAAGAAAAACCATTCCTATATGTACAGGAATTTTCTCAGTCTATTTAATTTCTTAGTTCATATATAAATATTTTCATCAGAAAAGGATATAAATAGGTACCTTTATTATGGTTCTCATTATCAAAAAGGAAAGCCAAGAAATTGTTAGGAACTCACTTTTTGCCTCCTCAGTTTCTGCATTGCTGATATCACCTCCTTATTTCTTAACGTGTAGATCAAGGGGTTTAAGAGGGGGGTGAAAATAGTATAGAATATTGAGAGTATCTTATCCCCTGTGGAGTTGTGAAAAGGCCAGGCATAGATGAAGAGGCTGGGCCCAAAGAAGAGGGTCACCACAGTGATATGGGCAGTCAGGGTGGCCCGGGCCTTGCCCGTGCCCGCTGATGATTGACGTCGCACAGTGACCAGGATGATTGTGTAGGAGATGAACAATAGCACAAAGGAGCTCATACCAAGTATATCAGTGTTTAAACGAATCAGTATCTCAAGGATGTAAGTATCAGTGCAGGCAAGTTTAATAACCAAGGGAGTGTCACAGAAAAAGCTGTCTATATTATTTGGACCACAGAATGGAAGATTTGCTACAAAGACTAGCTGGCTTGTTGAGTGCAAAAACCCAATGAACCAAGAGCCCACCACAAGGCCTGCACATTTGTGTATACTCATGATGGCTGTATAATGCAGAGGTTGACATATGGCTACATACCTGTCATATGCCATGGCCACAAGGAGCATCATTTCACTACCAGCAAAGAAATGAGCAAAGAATATCTGGGCCATGCAGCCCTCAAAGGAGATGGTCTTATGCTCCATGAGGAAGTCAACTATCATTTTGGGAGTGGCAAAAGTGGACAGACACATATCAATGAAGGAAAGGTTGCTGAGCAGGAAGTACATTGGGGTGTGGAGGGTGCGTTCAGAAAGAACTGTGAGCACAATGAGGAGGTTTCCCAACAAAATGGATGAATAGAAAAGTGTGAAAAATACAAAATAGAAAAGTTGTAGCTCTCGAGGACCTGAAAGACCGTGCAATTCAAATTCTGTCACTCTTGAGTTATTTCCTCGGTCCATGATTTCAAGTTTTGCAAATCAAATCAGATAATGTCCTGTAAAGTGAAATGGAAATGGAAATAACATCATAAGGTTGTGGGAGTAAGCAAGCAAAGCCAAGCCTGGCATCAAATCTAACTCTGTATACATATATGCTTCAGGTTTTCATACTGCTGTTCATTTGTGCCATTGATATATTCTGACAAAATGGTCCTTATTGGATAGAGAGTAGAATTGTTCCATAAGGTTTAATAGGCTATAATCTTTACAAAAGCTGACTGCCAGGTCTTTTTTTCTGTGGAATCACTGGTAGGTTCAAATCACTGAACTTTCAGTTAGCTGGCCAGTATTTAACCCTAGCTCTACTTTGGCTCCTTTAGATCCTCATAAGCCGGCAAACCAATATTGTCTGCCATCATAGCTTTTGTAGTGACTATATACCCTATGACTTTCATCTCTGCTGAAGTATGAAAGCTAAATTCTAAAAATAAATTTTTTTACCTTAATCCCACCTCTTTGAGGAGCTCTGATGGTGTAGTGCTTAAGGCATTTGACTGCTAACCTAAAGGTCAGTGGTTCAAACCACTTCGTGGAAAGAAACTGTGCAATCTACATCTGTGAAGATTTACCACCTCACAACCAAAAGGGGGTCACTATGAATTGAGATTGACTCGATGGGAGTGAGATTATTTTTGTTTGTTTCTTTTGGTTTATACCGCTTTAAAATTCCTAATAAATAGGACTATGAAGCTCTAGACTCAAACTGCTGTTGAAGTTTGAAATGGCTTCTCTTATAATTCCTATCAGAGTGACCTGGGGCAAATTCATTAAGCTCTCTTTGCCTAGTTTTTGTATCTTTAAATTGGGAAAATAATGATACATGCCTCATGGGATTGTTGTAAGAATTAAGTGTTACAAAATTGAAAGATTGAAAATAGTGCCTGGTCTATTGTACCAGTTCAATAGATATTAGGTACTATGTCTTTTTTTCATCTGTGATAAAAGTATTTCTATATGAAAATTAATAATTTAGATGCAAATCTTATTTAATAAAATAGGACATTTCCTACACTTCAGTGACATCTATTTATATCCAATATTTAATATTTTAGTTAATATGATATCATAGCTTTATATTTTTATTAGAAAGTTCTTAATTTGGACTATTTGTAAAGTTAAGATGGCCCCTCTTCACCCTGTAATTCTAAACTTAAGTGAATTTAATATGGGATCTTCAGTAGGAAGTTCAAAAAATATAAATATTTGCTAATAGGATGAATCTTCTCTATAATTTTCATAAACACATTTTTTATTTCTGAGGGAAAAAAATCCTATTTTCTCCTTTTTTTCAGAACACATTATAGATTGTGTTCAATATATTTGTAGATCTAAATGCATTTTTTGTTTCACATTAGGTAAAAAGAAGTGGTTTTATTTTACAGGTTAATAATTATTTCTGTGCCTTTTTGGAGAATACTCTAGAAAAATTGCTTCTTACAGGCCTCAGATTTATGTCTGAGAAGTAAAAACATTTCTGTTTTGGTAAATTTTCAAGTTTTACTTAATATGAAAATTAAGTTACTAAGATCTTTAAGTGGAAACAGAGCTGGATGCAAGAATAAATAATACATGCACTCAAGAGCATAAGGACCTTACCTTTAGAAATATGGTCTCCAAATTTTTTTTTCATTACACTCCTTCACCGGCAGAAGGGCTGTGACCAGGTATATTCATTTACCTGTAAATTATACACATAAAAAAAATGCTGTCAAGTTAGATTTGAATCAAAGCGACCCCTCCTTGGGTACCTGAGGTGGTATCACTATGGAAGTAGATTGCACAGTCTTCCTTCCAAGGAGTGGCTGGTGGATTACTACACTAAAATATCACATACAAGCTGCCCTTAAGGTCTGGAATTGAACCCACTCCTGTGGCTTCCAGCCAAACAAAAGACAGGCATATGAAGTGAACATTTACACTAGGTAGATACGCTCCTTGGAGAGAACAATCATGGGAGAACAGAAGGGCTGTGCATGCCCAAGGACATAGCTCAGGGGGCAGGAGTGCATGGAGGGAAGGACACAGGGAAGAGGTAACTATCGGGAGGAAGTGGGAGGGGAGCTGTTGCATTGTGGTAAATTGTAGTCAATGTCATGAGATGAAGTATATGTAAATTGCTGTATGGAAAGTGAATTTTTTCTGTAAACTTGCACCTGAAAAAAAGAAAAGAAAAGAAAAGAAATCATCTACAATATTACATACAATTTAAAATAGAATTAAAATTAAGGTAGAAGATTCCATAAATATCAAGGGAACTATTAATATTTTCCTGACATTCCAACAACTCACCTGCTGGGATACATATATGCAGCCAAAGGTGGATTCTACTGATCAAGAAATGGAAGTAACTCATTTTCTGGAGAGATATTTCAAAGGAAAACCTGACTTGGGAAAGAGGTAAGTTATTGCATGTAGCACTTTGTCTCTGGAAGAGAAGACAGAAAGTCACTGTGGTGTGGCAAAATGCTTTCCCTAGGTACCTTGGGTGGTTCATGGGATAAGCACTTGACTACCAGCTGGAAGGTTAGCAGTTTGAACCCACCCAGAGGCTCCTCAGAAGACAGGCCTGATGATGTGCTTCCAAAAGGTCATGACCCTGGGAACCCTATGGACCAGTTCTACTCTGCACAATGGGGTCTCCATGACTGAGAAGTGACTCAACAGCAGCTAACAACAGCAACCAATTTATACTTGTTGATAATTACACTGAATGTTAATGGATTAAATGCACTACTCAAGAGACAGAGAGTTTCAGACTAGATAAGAACACAAAACCCATCCAAAAGCTGTCTACAAGAGACACAACTTAGAGACAATGACAAAAATAGACTAAAAATCAAAGGTTGGAAAAAGATATATCAAGCAAATGGCAACTGTAAAAGAGGGGGAGTGGCAATATGGAATTCTAATCAAATTGACTTTAAGAAAAAAAACATCATATGAGACAAGGAAGGACATTGTATAAAGATTATAAGATCAATTGAACAAGAAGATATAAACATAAAAAAATATCTATGGACACAATAAAAGAGCCCCAGAATACATAAATCAGCTTTAAGAGTTGAAAAGGCAAATCGATGACTCCACAGTCATAGTGGGAGACTTTAATACACCACTTTCAAGGAAAGATAGAACAACTAGAAAGAAACTCAACAAAGATGCAGAAGAGCTAAACAATACAATCCACCAACTTGACCTTATAGATATCTAAAGAGCACTTCACTCAACAACAGCACAATATACATTCTTTTCCAGTGCACATGGAACATTCTCCATGGTAGAAGAAATGACAGCAAACAATTCATACTTGTTGATAATTACACTGAATGTTAATGGATTAAATGCATGACTCAAGAGATGGAGAGTTGCAGACCGGATAAGAAAATAAAACCCATCAATATGCTAGGCCATAAAGCAAGCCTTAATAAATTTAAAAACATTGAAATATTGCAAAGCATCTTCTCAGATCACAATGTGATCAAATTAGAAATCAACAATAGGAAGATCAATGGAAAAAGAGTAAACACATGGAAACTGAACAACACCCTCCTTAAGAAAGACTGGGTAAGACAAGGAATAAAAACCAAATTCAAAAGAGAATTAAAGCAAAACATACCAAAATTTTTTTGTACACAGCAAAAGCAGTGATCAGAGGTCAATATATACAATAATTGCACAAATCAAAAAAGAAGAAAGAGCCAAAATCAGCACTTTAAACCAACATCTCCAACAATTAGAAAAAGGAACAGCAAGAAAATCCTACAGTCACCAGAAGAAAGGAAATAATAAAGATTTGAGCAGAAATCAATGAAACAGATAATAGAAAGACAATAGAAAAAATGAACAAGATTAGAAGTTGGTTTTTTGAAAAGATTAATAAAATTGACAATCCACTTGTAAATTTAACAAAAGAAAAAAGGGAGAGAATACAAATAGCACAAATAAGAAACGAAAAGGGTGACATCACAACAGAACCGACTGAAATAAAAAGGTTAATATCAGGATACTATGAAGAACTATACTCCAACAAATTTAAAAATCTGGAAGAAATGGACAGATTTCTTGATACACCACTTACCTTAACTAACACAGACTGACATGGAAAAGGTGAACAGATCCATAACAAAAGAAGAAATTGAACAGGTCATAAAAAAATACCAACAAAAAACAGTCCTGGCCAAAACAGTTTCACCAGAGAATTCTACCAAACATTCAGAGAACTGACAACAATCCTACTCAAACTATTCCAAAACATAGAAAAGGTTGGAATCCTCCCTAATACATTATATGAAGCAAGCATAACCTTGATATCAAAACCAGGCAAAGACAGCACTCAAAAGGAAAACTACAGACCAATATCCCTCATGAATATAGATGCAAAAATCTTCTTCAAAATCCTAGCCAACAGACTTGAACAACATATCAAGAAAAGAATTCATTATGACCAAGTGGGGTTCCTATCAGGTACACAAGGATGGTTCAATATTGGAAAAACAATCAATGTCATCCACCACATAAATAAAAGAAAGGAAAAAACCACATGATCATATCAATTGATGCAGAAAAGGCATTTGATAAAATCCAACGCCAATTCTTGATCAAAACTCTCAGCAAAATAGGAATAGAAGGGACATTCCTCAACATAATAAATGGCATCTATGTAAAACCAACAGCCAACAGTATTCTCAATGAAGAGAGACTGAAACCATTCCCTTTGCAAACAGGAACCAGAAAAGGATGCCCTCTATCACCATGTCTATTCAACAATGTATTGGAAGTCCTGCCGGGGCAATAAGGCAAGAAACAGATATCAAAGGAATCCAAATTTGTAAGGAAGAAGTCAAACTATCCCTATTTGCTGTTGTTTTGATCCTATACCTAGAAAATCCAAGAGAATTAGTCAAAATCTACTGGTACTAATTGAGAGATTTAGCAACATGGCAGGACGCAAGATCAACATC